CCTTGCTGGTCAAAGTGATTGAGCAGGGGGCCAAATGGTCCTTAGCACCAACGAACGAACCAAAGTGCCCCACCATGATCCATGTGTAGTTCACTCGGGGTTGAGATCGTTTGCGTTGGTTGGGCCAGTCGGGCACTACAACGAGTTGTCCCTCCGACTGTTCCCTCATTTCGCCCTCCTCGTCACCGTAGTCGACTTCGCCCACACTGTTCGCAGCAGCAACGCTCTCCTGCTCGTTGTTCGCCTCTGCAACAGGCGCGCGCCGCAGCAGGTGTTCTACACGTGTTCCCAGTTGGAGCTCCATGACCTTGATTGGTGGCGACCTTGATTGGTGACGACCTTGATAGGTGGTGGGTGACCTTGATAGATGGTGACTCTGATTTTTTTGCTGTCCCTCTGTTAATTATATGGCCCTCCACTTGGATAAAGTATAGTTGCAATCTAATGTCACGCTATTATTGAAAATATATCGGAGAATCCCCAGCAAAATCGATACAACGTTTGTGGTGCCGAGTTTTGACCACCATGAACACATGCAACGACAAATTAATACCTTGGTATTTGTAAGCACGCCTTACTTTTAATTCAATCAAAGCTCTCACCTCCAAGTCGACCACGGGTTGGTGAGTGAGTGGCGCATTTTCGATTTCGTGAGTGGCGCATTTTCGATATCGGCGAGGTCATGAGCTGTGCGCCGGCGAAGCGTCCTCCGGTGCACCGAACCTATGCCTTCAAACAAGAAGCCCTACAAGCGTGGGACGAGCTCAAAGGTGGAGGGACAACGCTTGTCCATTACTGCCGGGCAAGGAAGATCCCGGTGTCCACGTTTGAGAAATGGCTGATCAAGAAGGACGAAATCGCTTCCGTGTGTACAGCCGACGTGAACAAGCACGTGCTGTCCCTCCAAACTAACAAGTCGAGGAAAACGTCGAAGAAGCGCAAGAAACTGTGCGTTGACAGCAGACACCAAGAATTGCACGAATGGCTGGTAGCTGCACCAAAGCCTTTGTACACTGGTGCTATGCGGGACAAAGTGCGGGCGTTGTGGCCCGAATGGAGTGACGAGGACCACCCCGAGTGTAAGACCCCCCATTTCCTCGCGAAGTGGTGTCGCCGAGTCGCCGTCCGGTTCGACCACACTGCCGGCTCCACTGCCAGCTCCAGGGAAGCGAGTCAGGCATCGTCCGGTGATGATGGTGATTTTTGGGAAGACGAAGGAAGTCAGACACAGCCAGGTGACGACGGAGACTTTTGGGTCGGCGTAGCAATACCGGACGGGGAAATTCCGGCAGCGAAACGACAATGGCTCTGCCCCGAAACCATGGTGCACACAGGAACAACTGGGGGCCATGCGTACGTGCGGCAGCCCCATCGAAAGCGTATCATGCACCCCATAGCCAACGACGACATCGCTCAGGGTGATTTTCGTGACGACTACCACTTTGACGCATTGCTGGCGCGCGACAGCTTTTCCGCTCCCTCTTCTTCATGTGACCGTGTTGTCGCAAGGGCCACTGCAACCAGGCAAACCCGAAGTGTCCCTCCGATTTCTCAGGAATCGGTCCATGCCGGACTAATGTCCGACGCTCGCAAGGCATCCCCAAACCCACCATCCAATAGTCAAATCGAGCGCTTGTTCAACTCCCTTGTCACCCGAAGACCGACGCAACGACGCCCGCGCAGCCAAAGCCAGCCACAAGTCATCCTTGCGACACGGCACATGTGATCTGGACGTCCCCCACCCCCTTACGGACCTCGCGAGGTGCTTCAACGACAGAAAATCTGACCATCGGCAAGCGATCTCAAGTGGCACCGAATGCCACCGTCCCCCCTACACCAGCCCAGAACGCATCGCAATGCTGTATTGCAGGCCACGCCGCTGCGAATGGTGAAGACTGTTTCATCGAGAGCGAAATTCGAAGGAAGTACCTCGAATTGGATGCGTACCTCCAATCCACGACCCAAGATGAAGTCCCACCGGTCCGAAGTGATTACGCACCATGCGCCACGGCCCATACCCAGTCGAAACCCAAAGGTCGAAAGACTACCCAGACTGGCCCTCGCTCGTCCCCCCAGCCGATCCGCACTACACCACATTCCTCAGCCGCCAAGCCAGCGCCAGTCGTGTTTTGGGTCATATGACTCCGTACGCCACTTTGACCGGCCCACATTTGTCCCCCACCTCGACCCACGCCGCACCAGCGTCCACCGCCACCAAGCCGACAACAAACCCCCTCCCAAACACTGATAACGAGGGCCATCGAGAAGACCCCCCCCCGCCCAGCTGAAGATGCAGCAGACGTGGAAATCATCGACCTTTGTGATAGCGACGACTCCGAAGTGGAAGCCTTTGAAGCCTTCAAGGCACTTCGGCGAGCAAGAAAAATGGAAAGGGAACAACAGCTCAAGAAGAAGTACGAGCAGCACCAAGTTCGCATGAAGTTTGAGGTAGTACCACCAACTGCCCTCACTGACGTGTACCATCACATTGATGACTGTCTGCCCGCATGTGTGAAGTATGATAACAATTGTTTTGAGTGGAATGTAGAAGAATTCACGTTGTTGCTGATTCGGCTAATATTTTCATGACGATTTGCGTTGACCACAATTATATGCCTCAATCTCGCACTTGTTTGTGCTAGGAAACGCTTGTAATTGCCTCCTAAGACATCGCGATTATGAAGTACGATCGATTTGTGAACTCGTCGTGTTGGCTGACCACCCCAAGACTCCAGTGACGCAACGATTGAAAGCTTCGAAGTGCGTTGACGTCTCAGGACTAAACCTTTGGAACACTATCTATAAGTGCATGTGGGCGTACTTGTGCAAAATGAATAGAATCAAATCAATTCATTTTGATTAGAGGCAGGATGAGTGTGGGGGTAAGATGTACCGCTTAGGGAGATTAAGTGGTTAGGACCTTGCCTTTTCACGGCAAAAACACGGGTTCGATCCCCGTAAAGGATATTATTTTAGGGGAAATAACTCAGTTGGTTAGAGTTTTAGCTTGTCACGCTAAAGGTCGCGGGTTCGAGTCCCGTTTTTCCCGTTATTAAATTTTTTTTATAAATAAAATTAGATTCTAAATCAGTTAAATTACCTATTACACCTTGAATTTCATTAGCCTCATATAGATTTAGCTTTTAATAGTGTAGAACATATTATGCGAGATGGAAATTGAAACAATAGGTAAAATTCCAAATTTATTTATTTTGTTTACAATTTCCTACAAGATTAGATGAATTTGAAGAAATGTTAACTAATAATCGTATTTGGAAACAAAGATTAGTTGATATAGGTATAGTTAAAGCTAAAGATGCTACAGCCGGTTCTGTTATTTGGAAACAAAGATTAGTTGATATAGGTATAGTTAAAGCTAAAGATGCTACAGCCGGTTCTGTTATTTTAGCTGGTATTCTTATTAAAATTAGGTTCTTACGGTTTGATTAGATTTTCATTACCTTTATTTCCAAAAGCAAGTAGAAGCAGTTTCTTTAACCTGATTATATTACTTGGTTTAATAAAAAATTAGAAGCTTAATTATTTATTATTTAAAATGATTCGTGGTTTCGAATCCCACTTTGGCCTATAGGAATAATAAAATAAAAATATATAAAATTAAACAATTCATTTATTATCTTTATAATATAAAAATATTATAAATATTTTTTAAATTAAAAAAGTAAAAAAATTAATCTAGTAGAATAAAAAGTGTAGGTCTTTGTTCTTATCTTTTAATTAATTTTTGGTTTACTTAAAATTCTTCGAATATGGAACGTCCTAATTTATTTGCCACTTTAACACAATTTAGTTGACGTGACTAACTGCAATGACTGTGGAATTTTGCAAAAATCAAGTCTTGACGTAGCTGGCTGTGATGCCCCGAGTCGATTTGCCTGTCTTCAATCTTAGTATGGAAATATGTATGTGCATACAAAAGTATAGTCATGACGTGGCTGGCTAAGATGTCCCGAGCCGATTTGCCAGT